AATTTCCTAAGCCAGAGAATAACGAAGGAACGAGAATCAATACAAACAGCAAAACTAGAAAGACTAAAACATAAACAATTGCAATTTTTAGGAATATGCGTCAACAGTGAGTGGTTTATAAACAAAACAAACATCGATTTTCCAGAGGAGGTGAAGTGGTTACTCTCTCTAGGGAGGAAGTTCGCGCTACCTACAACAAAAACTACTCTCGACCCAATCAAGATGATCGCGGAGATGGAGCAAATAATACAACAGATAGAGGATGAAAGAGACAAAGAAATAGAAAGGAGCAAATTAAGCAATAGAATTATGCAATTCAGACGGAACATCAAAAACAATACAGCGGAGAAATTTATAGTGGCAGTTTTCAATAAAACCAAAGCATTTTTGCAAAAACATAAGCACGAAATTATTGTCACAGATTCGGATAAGGGTAACAAAACCGTAGTAATTTACAAAAAAGACTACAGAGAAAAAATGAACGAATTGCTGAAAGACAAAAATACGTACAGAAAGCTTAGGAATGACCCAACGAACACTCTGCAGAAAAAGAATAACAATATAGTCAATCAACTATACAAAAACAAAATTATCAGTTGGAGAGAAAAACAATTGCTTACTTGCAGCGCGGCAACTGCCCCCCGCCTCTACGGCCTACCTAAAATACATAAACCAAACATACCTCTACGACCAATAGCGTCATCATTACATGTCCCTTGTTATGGCCTGTCTAAATTTATTGGCACTATTCTAAGTAGTTTAACTTCAGAGGAATACAATATAAAAAATGCGTTCAGATTGAAAGACAGACTGCAAAACATATGCATAGACGAGGAAAAATTGTTAGTGTCGTTTGATGTAGTGTCACTCTTCACAAATATACCAACAAATTTAGCAATACAACTTATTATGAGAAAGTTTGACAAAATACAGCAGAAAATTCACATACCAAGAAGCACCTTCCACAACATTCTGATATTCTGTTTAAAAGACAATAACTATTTTATGTATGAAAACCATATTTACACACAAACATTCGGAATGCCAATGGGTAACCCTTTATCACCTACAATCGCAGACATAATCATGGATGACCTGCTGGATAAAACTTTAACAGAACTAAAGGGGCTGCATAATATAAAAATCAAACTCATAGTGAAATATGTGGACGACGTCTTTGCAATTGTTAGACGAAACGACGTAGAAATAATTTTAAAGACTCTAAACAAGTATCATGAAAAGCTGCAATTTACAATGGAAACAGAGAGAAACCTCAGCATACCCTTTTTAGACGTTCGTATCCACGGAGAAAAGGAGAAAATATTACTTAACTGGTACTCCAAACCCATTTCATCGGGACGCATAATAAACTTCCTATCTGCTCAACCTTTGAAATACAAAATCAACACCGCGAGAAATCTTGTTACGAAAATACTTACCATAAGTCACCAAAGGTTTAGACACGAACACGTAGGGAAAATACATGAGATACTCAAACGTAACAACTATCCGATACACATGACTAAAAATTTAATTGAACAGGCACTCATGAAAATAAACAAGCAGCACAATAACACTTCCGCAGTAGCAAACACTGAGACAAAACAATTCTGTCACATATGTCCCCAAATTGACCGGCAAACTTCCCCAAACGATAAAGAAAAACAAGCCAAACATAACTCTAGCATACAAGTCAAATTGCACTTTGTCAACGATATTTACAAGAACAAAAAGTCCGATTAACCGCAACAACAAAGCAACATTGTATACGAAATGAAATGCCAAGGTAAACAAAACGAAGAGTGCAACAAAATCAACATAGGGACAACAAAGCGATCACTAAGCACACGATTATCAGAACACGATGCGGATATAAGAAAAAATACAAATAACACGGCATTAGCACAACATATACTAACGAGCGGTCACACAGCTGACCTAGCTAATACAAAGATATTAGACAGAGAAAACAGAGAAAAAATACGATACACGCTAGAGAGCCTCCGCATAATGCAAAAAAGAGAAAGAACAGTCAACAAGAAAGAAGACAGTAACGACATTGCGGCTACTTATTTACTGTGTTTACAAAACACAGTCAGTACGACAAGTGTACCCCAAGCAGCTGGTACCGATGAATAGTTTTTAAGACAAGTGTTCACTTATTATTGCTTGTAAGTTTTGTTAGTTTTTGGTATACATGTATATTCATACACACCAAGGCACATTATACAGATAGTATCAGTAGAGCAAAAACAACATTTGCGTGTATTTTGTTGTTGCTTCTGGTATCGAAAGTGTCAAAAACTGTTCTGAATTTTTTCTTCTAAATCAAAGCGTGCCATGTGAAATACAAAAAATTATAAAAAATAAAAAATTGAAATTGGAAAAAATAAAAATTGATGCAACTTTCTTTCCTAGTAAATTTGTTTGCTTCTCGAAGCATTGATCCATCCTTTGCAAGGCCCAGTAATCAGCGGTCGTGCTGCTGAGTTGGGCGAACGTTCCAAAAGCTGCTATTCAATCGCTTGTTTTGTATGGAAAAAGGTTTCACATGCAAATGGATTTTAACAATTCAGAATTTTTGTGAGAAAAAGTTAAAAATATTTGACATTTTCGAGACCAAATAATTTGAAAATAAATCAAATCAGCTGCTCTACTGATACTACCTGTTCAATGTACCTTGATACACACTATAGATATAAATTTCAACTCCTCACAACAAATGTGATT